AAAGAACTAGATCAAACACCAAATGGAAGAAGAAACTGATGGAAAACAGAGAACGAGGAGGGGTATGGAGTGGAGGTTCCCTGCCAACTAATATGGCACAGAGTGGCCATCTTAAAACACAGCCAGCAGCCACCCTGGACAGGGAGTACGAGAAGGCAACTTCGTGGAGAACCCAGCAGGAGTCAGAGCACCTGGTAATCAGAGAAAAACACTTTCCCACCCCTCACCCTTCTGGTGAGTAGAAGCAAGAGTCCCCCCAGCCCCAGTCATGGCAGAACCCATCACCAAGGTTCACAATATGAACTCCCCCTTCCTGAGCCTGTCCTGATGCCTTCTGTCAGGAGGCTTTTTTTTTTTTCTTCCTTTTCTTTCTCCTTCCCACCAAGCCCTGTATGCCACCCCATTCTGCCTGCCAATTCTAGCCATGCCACTCCAGCTAGAGAGCCACTGGCCCACCATGGCCCCAGGTTCACCCTGCCCCCACCCACCAGCTCCTACCACACTGCTGTATTTTTTTCTTTCTTTTTTCTTTCTCCTTCCTAGTGAGCCCCATATACCACTCCCACCCCTTCCTACCGGCACCTGGGTCCACTCTACTCCTACTCACCAGCCTTCACCATGCTGCCATTTTTTTCCCTTTCTTAATTGTCTTTCTTCCTCACACCTAGCCCCATACATCACCTACCCCCCATTACCTCCAGTCCCAGGTGTGCTGTTGTGGATAGAGTGCCATGGGCTCAATGGCCTGCCACTTCCCCAGGTCTGCCCCCACCACCTATTGCCCCCCCTCCCCGCACCATTTGTTTGTTTTCTTTCTCCCTTGCACCTAGTCCTGTACGCCACCTCTCCCTTTCCTGCTGGTCTCTGCCACACTGCCATGGCTAGAGCGCTCCCAGTGCTCAGGCTCGCCGCCGTACTGGGCCCATACTGCTTCTCCCCTCCTGTCACTTGAACCACCTGCTGAACAGTGTGAAGTGAGCCTGTACCACTACCCATCCTACACCCCTACCCATCTGGCGAGGGGCTGTGAAAGCTCCCACACTGCTGGACCAACATCAGGAGGCAGACAGCGCCCTAACAGTTCGGTCTCAGCCTCCTAGCCAAACCAGTGTACAGCAAAGCAGTCTCACCTTGCCTACTCTTGCTCTGCCCACCCAGATAAGGTGGTGGGAGCCATTGTGCCCACAGATGAGCCACCAGCAAAGAACGTTCAGCCCACTCTCCCTGACATATCAGAACAAAACATAAAAGCAGGATGAAACAAACATACAATCAATAAATAAAGAAAATAATACCTTAATGTCTCAGAGACAGCAGACAATACTAAAACATGTAAAAAAGCAGGACAAGATAGCTCCAGCAAGTGACCAAAATAAAGAATCAGATAACCTGGTAGAAGAAAAGTCAGTGGAACTACCTGATACAGGATTTAAAAGATTAATCTTTAGGGGTCTCCAGAATGTTAGGAAAGAGATCAAGGAAAACACACAAAACCAAGGAAAAGACAGACAAAATCATAGAAAACACAGACAAAACCAACAAAAACATAGCCAAAATCAAGGTAGACACAGACAAAGCAATAGAAGAATTCAGGAAAATAATACAAGAACAGAACATCGAAATAGATAAGCACTTAGAAATCACACAAAACATCAACTAGAAATCTAAAGGTAAACAGATTTTCAGAAATGGGCAACTCAATAGAAGATTTTAGGAGCAAATTTGAAACAACAGAAGACAGAATCAGTGAGATTGAAGACAAATGCATTCATGCCACTTTGAGGAAAAATCAGAGAAAAAAATGAAGAAAACCTAAGAATTATGTGGGACACAATTAAGAGGCAAAATTTGTGCGTGACGAGAGTTCCAGAATGAGGAGAAAAAGGGAAACACAGAGGAGATTCACTGACAGAAAATTCCTCAAATATTATGAAAGATGAAAAGCTGACCATCCAAAGCTCAGTGAACCCCATATAGAATAGATCCCAAAAGAAAGTCACCAAGACATATCATAATCACACTTGCCAAAACTGAAGACTAAGAAAGAAGCCTGAGAGCATCTTGAAAAAAACAAAGTCACATACAAAGGGGAAACAATAAGATTAAGCTCTGATTACTTGGCAGAAACTATGTAGGCAAGAAGGCAATAGGATGACATACATAAAACCTTGAAAGAAAAAAACTGCCAACCAAGAATACTATATCCTGCAAAACTCTCAAAATTTGATGGCAAAATTAGGGCATTTCCAGATAAACAGAAATTAAGGAAATTCATAAAAACCAAACCAAACTTACAAGTTATATTAAAGAGAGTCCTTCGGTTAGAGAACCAACAACATCAGACAAAACCTAAGTCTAGGAAACAGGACAACAACAGCCAGATACCAACTTCGGTAGAGAAATCTCAATAATAAAGCAAAGCTAAAAGTGTTAAAACAGGGAAACAGAGACATCAATCTGTAAATGACAATGTCAGACCAATAAAAGGGGGAATAAATGGTGTAGGTACAGAACTTTCAAATAGAGAGGAAGTCAAGGTGATACCAAGTAATAAAAGACTGGTTTAAACTTAGGAAGATAAAGGTAAATTTCATAACCATAAAGAAAGTTAACAAACCTACTCATCAAAATAAAAAAGAAGAAAAACATAAAGACTCAGTAAACATGTATAATAACAAAAGATATGAAAAGAAAATCCACAAATAAAAGGAACTCAGCACAGGAAAGTAAGAACAACAGAAATCGTCAGCACTACAAAAATAAGCATAACAATATAACAGCAGTAATCTCATACTTGTCAATAATCACACCGAATGTAAATGACTTAAGTGCATCTGTAAAGAGACAGAGAGTGGCAGAATGGATAAAAAACACAACCCATCAATGTGCTGTCTACAGTAAACACACTCTATAGATATAAAGACATAAATATATTAAAAATCAAAGGATGGAAAAAAGTATATCAAGCAAACAATAACCGAAAAAGAGCAGGTGTCAATACTCATCTCAGATAAAATAGACTTTAAGGCAAAATCAACTGTAAAAGACAAGGAAGGACATTTATTTATTATAATGATTAAAGGGAGAATCCACCAAGAAGACATAACCTTAATAAATACCTATGCACCCAATGACGGGACTCCAAAATACATAAAACAAATTATAACAGCACTGAAAAGAGAAATAGATAGTTCCACAATAATAATAGGAGACTTCAACACACCAGTCTCAGTAAAGAACAGAACATCTAGAAAGAAGCTAAGATACAGAAGAGCTAAAGGCTATAATCAACCAACTTGACCTCACAGACAATATATACAACACTCCACCCAACAGCAGCAAAATACATATTCTTTTCAGCACACATGGAACATTCTCCAGAATAGACCACATTTTAGGCCACAAAGCAACCCTCAGTAAAATCCAAAACATCAAAATAATACAGAACATACTCTCTGATTATGATGCCAATAAGGGTAGAAATCAGTAACAAGAAGAGCAAGAGAAAACAATCAAATTCATGGGAACTAAATAAGAACATGCTTAAAAACCACTGGGTAATAGAAGCAATCAAATAGGAAATAAAAAAATTCCTAGAATCAAATGAGAATGAAAACACATCACAGGAAACCTTTGGCACACAGCAAAGGCAGTGCTCAGAGGTCAATTTATAGCAATAAATGTACACATCAAAAAAGAATGGGCCAAAATCAGAACATTAGTCTACAACTCAAACAAATAGAAAAAAAAAAAAAGCCCACAGGCACAGAAGAAAGGAAATAATAAAGATTAGAGCAGAAATACAGTAGGAAAACAGTAGAAAGAATCAACAAGACCAAAAGCCAAAGATTAAACAAGCCTATAAAACCAAAATACACGTGAGGAACGTGCTTTGTAGTTCAGTCAGGTATACGAGACCACATGGGCAGCACTGGCCCCAAAACAGACAGGCAGGGACAGGAAAACTGGATGAATGGACACGAGGAGTCCAGGGTGGAAAGGGGAAAGTGATGACACATTGGGGAGATTGCAACCCATGTCACAAAACAATTTGTGTATAAATTTTTGAATGAGAAACTAATTTGCGATGTAAACTTTCACGTAAAGCTCAGTTTAAACATAAAAAGCTAGCACTTAATGTAGTGCTTTCTATGGCTGAGTACTAGTTTATGCTTATATTCATTAACTTAATTCTCACAACTATCACAACTACGGAGTAGAGATCGATTATTATTCTCATTTTACAGTAATATAGGAAAATGAGGCTACCCAAGATCACAGCTTGTAAGTAGTGTTGACAGGATTCAAACGTAGGCAGTGTCATTCCAGAATCCAGGTTCTGAAGTCTCTCAGTTATGACAGCCATTTTTTAAACTGGGTACTCTGATATAAAGGAATTGATAGCAGGGCCACCAGGGAATTTACTAGTTATCTGTAGTGTCTGTTTACCTAATGAAGCAGAGTTGATAAAAACCATATTTTAATGTGAATCCAGTTTATGGGGAAGCAGTTGTCCACATTAAATTAAATATTTTATTCCACCGTGTTTTTTTTTTTTTTACCTTTGGAAAGTCTGTACTAGAGTCGATTGATAAACTATTATGTGAAAGGAAAAGGAAGCCTATTGAGTTAAATCTTTTGTGCATTTTCTTATATCTGAAGATCAGTAATAGATGGGAGTTTCCCTATTGTTGGAAACATGCTATGGGTACATTTTGAGTTGTGTATATTTTTAATAGAATAATCTGTATTTTATATCATCTCGTCTATCTCACTATATCAGAATTAAAGTACTGTATAGTAAAAATCCACTTAAAAAAACAGACAAAAAGCCACAGGTGATTGTGATGATGAGCCTGGTTTAGGAACAACTGTGTTAATAGACCATACTGCCTTCTCTGTGAACTTCTAGGCCTGAGATAATTTTGTAAATACTGTCAGTAAATGATCTTAACAGCTTTTGCCTTTCCTGACCTTTTTCTTTTCTCATTTCTCTACAGTAGTTTATGCCAACGTGGCTTCATTCATACAGATGAACCAAGGATTGGGATAGCAGTATAAAATTAGAATCAGACAGCTGACTGCCCAGCAGGATGCCATCAACTAACCGAGCGGGCAGCCTGAAGGACCCTGAAATTGCAGAGCTCTTTTTCAAAGAAGATCCAGAGAAGCTCTTCACAGATCTCAGAGAAATTGGCCATGGAAGTTTTGGAGCAGTGTATTTTGTAAGTGTTAAAGGCTTAATGTCAGTGGCTAGCATTTGCTTAATGTCCACTCCTGGCAGAATAAAATGCGATAAAATAAAGAAATATGATCCATAGTCTATTTTATAGTCACTTGCTTAGGGGTGTATGTATGTGTGTAAAATCCAAATATGAATGTAGATAGTTTTATTTATTGATAGTGTGTTTTTAAAGCTTCTTGGATTATTGAAAAAATATTATTTTAATGTACATGTTACTTGTTTAGAATTTTTAGCACACTGTTTTTAGGAGTCTTACGGCATGCATTGGATCACTGGTTGTGCAGTGGTTAAGAGCTTGGCTGCTAACCAAAAGGTTGGCAGTTCAAATTCACAGCTGCTTCTTGGAAACCCTATGGGGCAGTTCTACTGTGTCCTATAAGGTCACTAAATGAGTGGGAGTCGACTTGACAGAAATGGGTTTTGTTTTTTGTTTTTGATTTGTAGCATGCATTGCTATAAAATTAAATATTGCAGAACAATGACTTTTCTGTAAAATACCTTGCTATGTCAGTCTATTTTAGTGTTGTGGAAATCCAGAATTATTATTTGACGAAAGGGTATGTACCATACAAGTCTGTTTTCTTTTGAACCTTAGCTTTAATTCTATTTTGAGATTTTAAGTAAAAGACCTGTAATAAACTTCTGATTGTTCATACTGAGGATGTATTATATCACCTTTACCTTTGAAGGAGTCCTGGTGGCGCAGTGGTTAAGAGCTTGGCTGCTAACCAAACAGTCTGCAGTTCAAATCCACTAGCTGCTCCTTGGAAACCTTATGGGGCAGTTCTACCCTGTCCTGTAGGGTCGCTATGAGTCTGAATTGACTCAATGGCAACAGGTTTAGTTTGGTTTTACCTTTGGAAACAGAAAAACACAAAGGAAAAAAAAAATATTACTTGTAAATTTTTTTTCCTTCAGATAATCACTGATATATCTTTTTGGCCTTTTCAATAATACGCATATATCTAGGGTGAACAATCATCCCAGTTTGTCCAGGACTCTCTTAGTTTTAGCAGTGAATCCCATGTCCTGGAAACCCCTCAGTCCCGGGCAAACTGAGGTTGATCCACCCTATTGGTATCTAGTTCTGCTATAACAGAAATACCACAAGTGGATGGCTTTAACAAAGAGAAGTTTATTTTCTCACAGTCTAATAGGCTAGAAGTCCAAATTCAGGGTGTCACCTCCAGGGGAAGGCATTCTGTCTCTGTTGGCTCTGGAGGGAAGGTCCTTTTCATCTGTCTTCCCCTGGACTAAGAGCTTCTTTGCGCAGGAACCCTAGGTCCAAAGGACACGCTCTGCTCCTGGCACTGCTTTCTTGGTAGTATGAGGTCCCCCACTCTCTGCTTGCTTCCCTTTCCTTTTATCTCTTGTAAGATAAAAGGTGGTGCGGGCCACACCCCAGGGAAGCTACCAATTATGTTGGATCAGGGATGTGATCTTAGTATGGGTGTTACAATCCCACCCTAATTCTCTTCAACATAAAATTACAATCACTAAATGGAGGACAGCCACACAATACTGGGAATCACCGCCCAGCCAAACTGATACACACATTTTTTTGAGACATAATTCAATCCATGACAATATCTGTAATACATAATGTTTATATGTATATACTGTTCACTTGTCATTTATTTTTTGAAACAAAAATGTTACAGTTTATTTTATACTATTCTGCAGCCTTGTTTACTTTCATATTGTGTTTATGTGTAACATTTAATCGCTGTATTAGACTTCATCATATATCTATTTGATACTCCATAGTTTATCTCATCATTTCATAGTATTAGATATTTAGATTATTTCCTTTTGTTGTTTTTTTTTGCTGTTAAAATTAATGGTGTGATGAACATCTTTATGAAACGTGTGCCAATTTGGAGGAGAAAAAAAAGAAAAGGCAAACAAGCCAGTGCAAATAGCCTAGAAAATAATGAAAAAGAAGATTATTGAAGGAATCCTTGAATCATCAAATATTAAAATAACTATAACACAATAATTAAAGCAATATAGTATTAGACAAAAAGATCAGTATAACAGAATAGAACCAGAAATAGTACAACGGTAATTTAAAGAGCCTTTTTGTGGGGCGGGGGTGGGGGGGGAAGTATTCTATAATGTGTGTCTACTTGGTAGTTTCTTGTACAGGTTAAGAAAAACATCTTTCAGCATAAAACTTTCACTGATTAGGAAAAATAATTTTGTTCATTGTTTATAAATAAGTTGTCATAGGCAAGTAAAGGTTTGTATATATATATTTTGTGTTGAGAAATGAAGGTCTCAGTACTTAAATATAGTTTCACCTTAAGTCTATTGAAGTGCAGATTTTGAACTAAGTCGTGCCATTTCCCCCCCAATAGTTTATTATGAAAAATTTTAAACATACCAAAAAGTGAAAAGAGTATTTCAGTGTACTCGCAGATAGTCTACCTTTAACATTTTATTACGCTTGCAAACATTTGTGTCCATCCCTCTACCCATCAACCCATCTCATTATTTTTTACCTATTTCAAAGTAAGTAGTAGACTTCAGTGCACCTTCCTCTAAATATTTGAGCATGCATATCATTAGCTAGAGTTCAATATTTTTTACTTGCTTTATTTTGAAGTAAAAATTATATGCAGTGAAATGCACAGATCTTCACTGTACCATTAAATGAGTTGTGACAAATGTATACCTGTATAACCCAGTGGAGCCCTGGTGGCGCAGTGGTTAAGAGATATGGCTGTTAACCTAAAGGTCAGTAGTTCGAATCAACCAGCCGCTCCTTGGAAACACTGTGGGGCAGTTCTACTCTGCCCTGTAGGGTTGCTATGAGTCAGAATCATCTCAACGGCAATGGTTTATAACCCAAACACTTTCAAGATGTGGAACATTATCATTACCTCAGAAAGTTGCCTCATGCCCCTTCTCAGTCAGTCTCCATTCTACCTCCTAGAGGTGAACAACAATTCTCATTTTTTCGACTGTAGATTAATTTTGCCTATTCTAGAATCATACAGTATATACTTTTTTGTGTCTTTATCGTGTAGCATAATGTTTTTGAGATTCATCCATGTGTTGAAATACTATAATTCTTTTTTATCGCAGAGTAGGATACTGTTGTATTCCACAGTTTGTTTATACATTCTTCTATTGGTGACTATCTAGACCATTTACAGTTGGGGGCAATTATGAATAAACTTGCTCTGTACATTCTTGTTCAAATCTTTCTGTGGACCTGAGATTTTATTTCTCTTAAGTAAATACCTAGGATGGAATTATTAGATCATAAGGCAGGTGTATGTTTAGTTTTATAAACAATCGCTAGACTTTTTCATTAAGAGGTAGAAATTTTACATTTCCCATCAACAGTGTATGAGAGTTCTGTTTGCTCCATATTTTCTCCAGTATTGGGTGTTAACAGTCATTTTAATCTGGGCCATTCTGATGGTTGTGTAATGATCTCTCTTAATGGTTCTAATGTACATTTAACTGATGACTAGTGATGTTGAGTACTTTTTCATGGGCTTAACGGCCATTCACATTTCTCTGTGAAGTCTCTGTTCAAATCTTTTGCCCGTTTTTTAAAAAATTGAGTTTTTTGTTTTTCAGTTGAATTGTAGGAGTTCTCTGTATATCCTGGCTATTTCCCAGATACATGATTTGCAAATATTTTCTCCCAGTGTATGGCTTACCTATTTATTTTCTCTACAGTGTTCTTTGGTGAGCAGAAGTTTTTAATTTTGATGAAGTTCAATTTATCAACTTTTTTCTTTTATGGTTATTATGTTCTGTGTCTTGACCAAGAAATATTTGTTTAATCCCTTATCACAAAAATGTCCTTCTTTGTTTCTTCTAAAATTATTATTATATTAGCTTTTATGTTTAGATCTTTGATCCATCTTGAATTACCTTTTATGTATGATTTGTGGATGGCGGTTAAGATTCTTTTTCATATGGATAACCAGTTTTTTCAGCACCATTTGTTGAAAAGACTTTTCTTTCTCCACTGGATTGCTTTGGTGCCTTTGTTGGAAATCAGTTGACCATATAAATATGAGTCTATTTCTGGGCTCTCCTTTCTGCTCACTTAATCTATTTGTTAGGCCTTATATTAATACCAGGAGTACCTGGGTGACAGAAAATGTAAGTATTTTGGTTAGCACTTGGCTACTTACCAAAAGGTTGGTGGTTCAAATTCACCAACATGCCTAAGAAGAAAGGCCTGGCGATCTACTTCAGACAGATCACAGCCATTGAAAACTCTGTGGAGCACAGCTCTACTCTGACACACCTGAGGTTGCCATGAGTCTGAGGTGACTCATCACTAACTGATAATGTTGGTACCATGGTGAAATCAGGTAATGTGAGTCCTCAAGTTTGTTTGTTTGTTTTTTTTTCCTCTCAAGATTGCTTTGGATCTTCTAGGTCTTTTGCATTTCCATGTAAATTTAAAATCAGCTTATTAATTTCTTTTTAAAAGCCTGCAAGGATTATGATTGCAATTGAATTGAATCTGTAGACTAATTTGGAGAGAATTGACATCTTAATAATAGCTCTTCCAGTTCAACTTTTTAAATTTCTCTCTGCAGTGTTTTATAGTTTCCATTGTAGAGGTTTTTCTTTCTTTTGTTTAATTAGTATTTTAACATTTTGTGGTATTTTTGATACTATTGTAAATGGAATTATTTTTCAATTTAATTTTCAGATTGTTTCTTGCTAGTGTATAAATGAAGTTGATTTTTGTATATTTTATATCCTAAAAGTTTGCTAAATTCATTTATTCTAGTAGTTGTTCTTTAACCTTCTTAGTATTGACTATTTAAACAATCATGTCATCTACAAATGGAAACTTTACTTCTTTGGTTTTTTATGCTGTTTATTTCACTTCCTTGTGTTATTGCCGGGGCTAGAACTTCCAGCATGGTGTTGTATAGAAGTTGTGAGAGAAGGTATCCTTGAGTGATGATATTTTAATGTACCAGCAAAGAATTAAAA